ACCCTTCGCGTTCTCCCCGGCCGCGCAACCCACCAAGTTCTCACGATAAAGTCATTCATTCGGGATGTTTGGAAATTGCCCGCTGTGTACGGGCGCTGAGCCAAGGATGGAACAAGTCCCCGGCTCTCTGTAAGCTTACAATCTAAGAGAAGCGGGGGCTAAAAATGAACTGAAATACCTAACACAATCCAAGGAACTAAATCCATATGCGCTGTAGAGTCAGGTTTTCGTTTTAAAGGCCCCTAGAGATGGTGAAAGAGCTCTGGTTGGCGCCGTGGTTTAAGCACTGGGGTGCTAACCTGAAAGTCTCCTGACCTGGGAGAAAGACGCGGCAGTTTGTTTCACGAAGACTGCATAAATAAATCCTCGAGCCTTGGAAGCCCTCGGGCGTGCTCTGTCCCGCACGCCAGTAGAGCTTTCCTTTAGTGAGGGTGAGGGTCAAGGTCTTCATCCCTTAGGTTCACCATCTTCAAAGTTTAGGTCGTGAACCCTTGAAAAGAATTGTGTGAGGCTTTGCACCTTTTAAAGTGTCGTCTTCAGGGTTCTTTCCCGCTGTATCATATATATTTCATAACTCACACTTTAAAATGTAGCCAATTGACTGTAAATACCATAAGGGATTTTTATATCTGCCAATATCCACTTTTCTTGATTCAGTTTCCTCTTTTATACTTGGATAATTGCAATTTTTTTGAACTTATGTTTGCAGTCCACATCCATTCCAAAATTTTATCATTTAAAAAAACACATTTTTGAAGTCCGTGACTCACCTTACCACACACTTGCCTGTAACCAAACTGTATAGAAATGGAAATTTAAAGGTTGCTTTGTTGGTTTCCTGTGACCTCGGAACTCGTGTTCTCATAACGATCAAAGCAAATATTTCCAATTTTTATAAATGTATTAAATGTAAAAATTAAATTGTATTGGAAATACATCGTTTAAAGGTGGAGTTGGATGCATTTTGTTTCAACTAATTTATTATTAAGAAAAAGTTTTCAAGTCTATAGACGTAAGCCTTGAGAAAATAAAGCATTGAGAAAACTTGTTCGCATAAATAAGTAGGTGCTAGTGAATAGAGTTTTGTATAGCAATGTCACTCAATTCTCTGTGCTCCTTCCAACTTATACAATAAAAAGAACAACAAAAAAACACTTTTAGTGATTTATCAGCTAACAGCTCTGATTAGGTGCTCTTTCAACCTTGTTGAAAGCAAGTAACTGAAAACCACCTGATTTGTAAAAGATGTTACCCATTCCATTCACCCGTATTCCCAACTGTCCCTTTCTTTGAGATCCTGGACATTTTTGTAACACGGTATTACTTATTAGTCAAATTCTGTATGGAATGGAGTTTCATTTTTCATTTGTAAAGGAGAAAAGGGACAATTGGGGTAAAGAAGGTAGAAATGATTATTTTATACCTTGGCCCCAAAGCGTATCTTCAGGCAGATCAATTTCAGGGATCAGAGATTGCCTTTAAAAAACTTTCCATTTGACAGAAAAAGAAAAGTCAATTATACAGTGCTGAGAAAATTGGATTTCCACATGCATAGAAATGAAATACTATATACAAAGTCACATGCATACACAAACTCACACCATACACAACAAATTCAAAATGGATTAGGGATCTAAATGAAAAAACTGAAACCATAATATTCCCAGGGAATAAAAAGCTACGCAACACTGTCTGGCCTAGTTTTCAACAATGAATTGTTTATCTAGTGAAAGCACAAACAGCAAATGACAAAATAAATAAGGTGGGACCTCATAAAAAATTTTTTAAAAGACAAAAAACCACATGTTCCTCAGAAAACTTTACCAAGGTTTACACACAATATATATATGTATTTGTACATATAAATCTATTCATATAGATGTGGTTTTTTATGGTTACCAGAAATAGGACTGGAAGGGAGCGGAGAGAAATCACTAACTAGACAGTAGATAGGTGTTAGTTTGGCTGAAAGTCAGTATATATAAGTGGTCAGTGTAAGATAACAAAAAGAGTGGTAGACCATAATTACGGATTTTAAAAGGTAACTACTCTTACATACACAGTCTTGCACTACCAATAATAACAAACACTACAAGTGGATACACAGGCTTAAAGTAAGGCAAGATGAACAGGTATGAGTCATGAAAGAAATTATACTCATAATGGGGCTAGCAGATGGTATTTCTACACATGCCTAATGTGTGTGCTATAAAATCTGAGTATATCTGTGCATATAATAGAGCAAATGGAGCAAAGGTATGTAAACTTCTTAACACCCCCCCAAAATATCATTACAATCAAGTCAGTTTCTAACTCTTACCAACCCTGTAAATCAGAACTACTCAGTGTTTCCAAGATGGTAAATCTTTACTGGAGATCACAGCAACCCTTTAAGATCAAAGGCAAGGACAAAGTTCAGAAGAATTAGAAAAGAAGGAATGATAACAAGAAACACAAGGAGGAAATGGGATAAGTGTGGATGACTACAGGGGAATTGGATGAAGTGGAAGAAATAATATGTATGAACTGTTGAATGTAAAACTGATGATTGGCTCTGTAAATTTATCCAATTCACAATAAAATTTTACATTAAAAAGGTCTTTTTTTACATATAAGAGCTGTAAGAGCCCCAAATAAAATGATTCAGTAAAAAAATTTTTTAAAAGTCTTTACAGGAGCAAACTATCTCCTCTTCCTCCAGAGGCGCAATCAAATGGGGCGTTGAGCTGCCTCAGGACACTAACTAGTGCCTAACCCAGAGTGCCTCTAGGCTATCACCAACCCCCTTGAAAGAACTAGTCCCTGGGCCTGGGAGTTTAAGTCCATAACCCCAGGGGAACACAAAAGACAATTAGCATAACAAAGTCCACAAAGAAAACATCCTACATCCAACTTTGTTGAGTAGCTACTAAGATCTGCAGGGAAAGACCTCTAATTCAAATGTATCTTCCAGGCCCCTTTATTAAGTCTTAAACAGGATAAAGACAAATCATCTGCATGAGGAAGACTGTCATCATGAGGCCACAATTGTGTCTAAAGGGTTGTCAGGAGCTAATTATACATACTTAAAAAAAACAAAAAACCACCTAGCTGCCATCTAATTTCAACCCTATAGGGCAGGGTAGAGCTTGCCCCTGTGAGTTTCCGAGACTGCAACTCTTCACAGGAGTTTGAAAGCCCACCTTTCTCCTGTGGTTTCAAACTGCTGAAGTTACGCAGCCCAACTTGTTACCACTATGCCACCAGGGCTCCGGAATGATACATAAGGGGTAAAAATAAATGGTTAAAAAAATTGTGTCAGGGGATCGATTACAAGGACCTACATGTGACCTCCCTGGGGGACAGACAACAGAAAAGTGGGTGAAGGGAGACATCGGACAGGGCAAGATATGACAAAATAATAGTTTATAAATTATCAAAGGCTCATGAGGGAGGGGGGAGCAGGAAGGGAGGGGGGAAAATGAGGACCTGATGCCAGGGGCTTAAGTGGAGAGCAAATGTTTTTAGAATGAGGGCAATGAACGTACAAATGTGCTTTACACAATTGATATATGTATGGATTGTGATAAGAGTTGTATGAACCGCTAATAAAATGATTTTTAAAAATGTGTCACAAGCAGGATGACAGACAGGTGGGTGGGAAAGCCTCATGCCTAGGATATGAAGGCTCCAAAGTTGGACAAGATTGGTTCTGGGGCCCTTCAGTCACGTGGCTACTTAACAGTTAAGGCACTCCAACTCCCAGGTGACATCATACCTGTAAATCATTACAGATAAATCCAGGCAAGTTCCCTGAGGCAAGATTGCTCCTACCTGGGCTGGCCAAACCAAAAACTGAAACTCAGTGCCAAGCATAGTGACCCTTTAGGACAGAGTAGAAGAGCCCCTCTGAACTTCTGTTAACGGGAGTAAAAAGCCCCATCTTTCTTCCAAGGAACGAACAGCTGGTGGTTTTGAACTGCTTATCTTGAAGCTCACAGCACAACATTCAATCACCACACCACTCAAGTGAATCAAAGTCAACTTTCAGACACATTCTGCCTGAAGACAAAACTTTTCACATTGCTGGTTAGTCGTCAGAGTGAAGTCAAATGAAAGTTGAGTCCAACTTAAAGTAGAGTTAAGGCTCCCATTGTAATCCTCAGCCTTCTTCACTTAAGTACTTTAAAATTTAAACTCTAATACCAATCTTAAAAGCAGTTGCAACAATTGTTATTTGTTAGAAGCAAAGACAAGTAAAGAAAATCCAAGGCTCGTGGGAACAATTAGTCCAATGACTAATGAACCATGTGAACCTCCGCCTCCACTATCCTGAGATCAGAAACCCTAAATAGTATCTCACTCTGAAATGTCCAGGTGCAGACGACTGTGGGATGAATCACAATT